CGCGGACTGACTTAGAACATGTTTTTATAGGGCAGGATGCTTGGATTCTCTATTCCAGGGATATTGCCTTTGATGGCCGTGGGCTAAACACGGCACAGGATTGAATACCCACGGTGGGCGAGGGAACTTCAAAGCTCGTCTTGTTGCCAAAGCAACGTGTGGCAAAGTGATCGGAAATGCGGAAAAAACTCCACTCCTGATATGATTCCAATAAAGTATTAGTTCTGGCAATAGTTACACATGTGGCATCCCTCTGGATGGTCCGGATTTTCTTCAATTTAAATTCGATGGCTCCGGGGCATGGCCAACCGTGCATTCTGTATTGTACGCGCTCGTGTTTCTCTCTTGCCTCCTGGTCAATCAACCCCACTCTAAGCCCCCGTGAAGAGGTGGTCCGGTCTGAATGGGGACTCCAGCGTGGCTACTGGCGGTTGACATGATGACGTGTGTAATGAGCAAACAAGCACTGGGAAAAAGTGCACAAATAAATAATAGAACAAATGGCAACAAGACGAAAACAACGCTGACAATTCCTGGCCCAACATATCCTGCAGCGCAGGGAGGCGAGAGAGACACGGGAGAGAGGAGAGAACGGGGGGGATGTACAATAAAGAACATCAAAAAAATCACTAATGAATCCGGCTAAGGATTCCCAATGCACGTTGCAGTTGCACGCGCAGTTCAAATGAATGAATGAATGAATGGCGAATTGTTTCCAGTTTCCCCCAGTTGTTTTTGTTGTTGCTGCTGTTGTTGCTGTTGCACGAGTATGTGGCTCCTCCGGCAGCAAGGATAGCCGGAAAAAATACTACGCTTTTAATCCCTAATGTCAGTTCACGTTCAATGGAGTCGGAGTCAGAGTCAGAGTCACAGTCACAGTCAGAGCTGGAGCTGGAGCTCTTCCTGTACTGTCCTGCCGTGTCCTGCCCTGTCCTCTCCGCTGCTCCACCCCAGTGCCGCTCTGGCATTGTGGTCCATTTCTTTACAACTCTTTCGCCCCGGCTCTGTTCATATTATTTCTATTTTTTCCATTCCCATTCCCATTCCCAGTTCTGTTCTGTTCTGTTCTGTTGGGGTTCTGGTACCGGGGGTTCCGTTCCGTTCCGTTCCGTTGTTTCCCAGCTCTGCGGATGCACTTCGTCCTGTTTCGTTCTGCAGCCGGAAAAATAACTTCGCAGCAGCAGAAATTTCCCTGTCGGCGTTGTCGGGAGTTGTTTATTTAATTAAAAATGAAAACAATGTATTCCCCTCACCCCATTTCCCATTCGCCCATCTCTAGCCCCTACCTCCCCTCCCGTCCTGGTCGCCCCTTCCGTTGCCGAACAACAACATTTATTGTTGTTGTTCTTATTGTTTTTGTTTTTAATAATATTTCTATCATATTCGTTTAATATTTAAATATTTCTCCCACTCATTCTGTCGCTGCTTAAATTTTTTCAAAATTAGTTTCCACCCCCCCAACATTATGCAAATTTTTGCGCATTTTGTGCGGTTGGTAAATAATTTTATGATGCCGCTTGGCTAAGAGTGTGCCCCGCCACGCGTTCAAACTAGTGCTTGCTGGGCCTCTGATTTGGGCCTGGGGGTTGCCTCATTTAAATGTTAAAAGGATTCAAGTTTACCCGGAGAGAAAGGGGCTCGGAGGCGGGCACTTCCTCATGGCATTCGGAAGTTGTCATTCGCCCCTTTGTGACTTAATTTTTGAATGAATAATGCCGCACTTGCGAGTCCCGACTAATTGCGAGCCAACGATGGGAGGATGCATGCCCCGGTCAAAGAAAGAACCCTTTGGATTAGCTGTACCTTAACCCTTTTGATGGATTTCGATGGGGCTCAATATTAATCTGTCTGTACGATCCTAGCCTGGCCAAATCGGAAGAATGCTGTTCCCATGATTCTACTTTCTAAAAGCCGCCTTTTGATAAGAGGATTAACCCTATTTCTCCTTCACTTATCTCCCAACTCTCTTTGATTAGCCTCAGTTCAAGCAGGTACCAAATTTTTTGGTCGGTCTCTGTATGAGCTATGATTTTTCCCATTTTTACCATTTTTACCATTTTTACCATTTCTACCATTGCTCTACAACGTCCTTGTGTGTTGCAGCACTCAACAAACTTAAATCAAATATGACCAAGCCTTTGGCTCTAAACTTGTTAAGACTTACCCGTACATATGTATGAACATATACAAGTGCAAATAGAGGAGAACGAAAGAGGGCGAAAGAGTGGAGAGAGGGAAATGGGTTGTAGAGGGAAATGGAGCTTTTTGGAGAATTTTCTCCGTACACTTCATTATCCGGTTCTGTGGAAACAAAACGCATCTGGCAGCTTGAAAATGAAATGCTTTCAAATGAAACGAAAATCATATTAGAAACGCAGGCCGTAGTATACCGGAGTATAAACGCAGATGAAGACGAACGCTCCAAGGGAAAATGGAGCAGCAGCGGGTGGAAAACTCTATGGAGAGCTCATGGAAAATGTAAATAAAATTCCATGGCGAAACATTTTGCAATTACAGGGCACAACTCTCGTCTCGTCTCGTCTCGACTCGTCTCGGCCCTGAATCCACTCTCTACCAATCCCTTTCTCCTCGACCTCGACTCCAGTCCACGGCGAGTGCTGGTCATTAAATATTAAGCGAGCGGTAAAGGAAGAGGTTGCTCCCGTTGCTCCTGTTGGGCCCCAGAGCCCGGGGAGGGGCCTGGGAAGGGGCCTGGGGAGCGGCCTGGGGGTTTGTTTGCTCAGGCGAGAGCGAAAGTTCCTCGGCGAAGAATGGCTGGTCTCCGTCTCAGGGCCAGACGGTCGGGAACTGCCGTAATTCCCATTCCCATTCCGATTCCCGTTCCCATTCCCATTCTGCGTCTCTCGATTTGTGAAAATGTCGCGACATTTGTGCTTCACTCTGCGCTTTCGTTTCCTTCCGCTTTTCCTTCGCTGCCATCCGTGTCTGGCGGCCGGCCGCCCTTTGGCACATCGTTGCAGCAAATTACAGAAATTAAAGCTAACGAAGCGCGAACATTGCCAACAACCCGACAAGATGTACTCCTACTACTCGTACTATATATAGAGCTATATAGAGACCAGAGCCGGAGCAAATCGGGGACAAGGTGTTGGGCCCACTGTGTGATGCGTGGGTAAAGCGTTCTCGCTCCTTTTTTCCCTTTTCCTTGCCTTTTCCCTGCTTTTCCCATTGCTTTTCACGCCGTTTTCCGTTCCGTTTCGCTCCTTGCAATTTCTTGTCGCGTGCCGAAAGGATTAAAAGTAAAATTCCCATTTTGCGGCAATTGAATTAGTGCTAAAGGACCTGTGATTCGGGGTGAGCATGGAAATCGGAGGGAAATGCTTGGATGCCCTGATTTCCACCAGTACGAGTATTACAGGCAATGGATCTTCGGGGCACACCTCGCACGAGCCACGACATCCAATACCATTCCCGGGGGATAAACTAAAATAAATGCAAACCAAGTAAAACATAAATAATACAACAAGCAGTCGCGCACTCAATTACCAGCGAGGGTCCGTCCGTCCGTCCGTGTGGATGGGGGATGGCATCGGATATGGTCCACAGGTAGAAAGTCAATTCCACCTGCCCACCTGCCACTCCACTCCTGTCCACCGTGGACACCGTGGAGCGGAGGCGTGTGCTGCGTCAGCGGTGGCAGCAACCCCGTGCCTCATTAATACACCGTCGATATGTTGTGTGTGTGGCGGCGGGGCGGCAGAACGTGCGTAGGGGAAGGGGTGCGCCTCAGGAAGGACGCACAGGTGTCAGACGTTCCCGCCACCCTGTAACACAAGACGCTATCGGTCCTTTGTTTTGCTCTGCTCATTCTTCGATTCTCTCCCCACCATTTGGCTCGCTCTCTCTCTCTGTCTCTCCCTGTCTCTGGCCTGTCAGTGCCGCTGTCTTGGCTCTTTTTGGAGACTTCTCGGGCTGGCTGTAGAGGCTGTATGGGGGGCAGCCTTTGAGGCAGTGCCTTGGTTTGTGCCTCGTTTGCTTTGGCCACTCGCCAGTTTTGGTTTTAGCAGATTCTCTTGCGTGTGCACATCCCCTCCCCGCTCCTGCCCATCCCGAGCGAATTTCTCGATTTGTGTCTTGTCGTCTTTTTGTTGAGCGCCAAAAATAAACACAGCGTAAATCGTCCGAAATTGCTTGGGCCACAGCTCGGACGATTCCAAATCGTTTGGCATATGGTGGGAAATCAGAAAATCAGCCCGATATATGTATGCATCCATCTCCAGCAGCCATCTTCTGCGGTGGCTCATTCTGTTTGTGTGACCCAGAAGATTTCGCCTCATTTCATGTAAATTTCCAAGGTCAAGATTGTGCATGTGTACATCCCCCCGACCCCCCCGCTCCCTGTGTGTTGGTGGTTTTTATACCCAAATGAGTCAGCGATCTATTGGCCAAAACTCTGTTTGATAATAATCATTAATGGATCTTTGTATCTTTGCATTCCACCAAAAGAACCATTCGATCCGTAATGTCTAGCAATTAAATTGCGAGCACCTCTGGCATTTAGAGCAAAGCAACAGAGTCCCGAGATGCGGCAGCCGCAGATGCCAAAGTCAAATTTGTTGAAGCAGCTGAAAGCCGCTGAAAAGTCTCCAAGAGATGGCTAACATGTGGCCGACGGTATCGCAGTTGGCCTGGCCCAAAACACTTGACCGACCCGCTACCAGCTGTGGAAAGGAAACGACGACGACGCCAGCTTCAGCTTCAGCGCCGACGACTACGACAGCGTCAACGTTTCGCGCGGGAGCCACTTTAGGGGTTGGTTGTTCTCTCCGCTTCGCGTAGCAGTGTTGTCTCTGCCACTTGCCACATGCCACTGCCACTGCCGCCAAGGCAGAGGCAGTGGCAGCTCTGCTGGCGTAGCAGCTGACGCTGACGCTGCCGTTGGCGTTGCTGCTGCTACCGTTTTGGCTCTTTGGCTTCTGGCCACCTTCGAGTGTATTTCAGTTTCATTTTGAACGCCGTGCGCTGAGAACGTGGACGTACTGCCGGTCTCGCTCTGTGTCTCTCGGTCTCTTGCCCCTCGGCTCGCCTCGAGTCGTAGCGTAGAACGCGTGTGAACCAAAAGAAATAATAATACTTTTTTTTTTGTTGAATGGTGGCATTAAACGGAACCCAACCAAAGAGCAACGTGAAAGTAAGGAATACGAAACAAAAGGCGATTAAAAAATATAATTTAAATTAGGAACAAAAAAATATACAAAATAGAGAGTGACAAAATAAATGCAGAAAATATAGAAAACAAAAGGTTCAGACTATATATTTAGATATATGTATTTCTGAATAAAAATATAATTTCCAAGGGAAGAAACTATAGTTCTCCACCAAAGACTTTCTCTGACGACAGATGTGCACGAAATTAGCACCAGAATTTGGCCTTGAAAACTGTTTTGGCTTCCGGTCAAGAATAAAAAACGGCGATCCCTCGAATAAGCTCGTAACTTTTACAAGAAAATAATTTTTTCGTTCTTGATTTATAATCATAATTCCTTGTATGTGGTGGCATGCGGCAGCAACAAGTAAATCATCGATGAAAATACACCTATATTTAAATCTGAAAATGTTGTCATAGGAATAACATTGAGAAATACTCGTATATGAATATTCTTTTATTTTTTTGTTGTTCGAAAATGAGCGAATGTTTGAAATATGTGTGCTAAAAGCGAAACCGAAAATCTCTCTATACATCCTCTGCGAGTATACGATGTATATATGGATACGGATTCGTGGCGTATGCGACGATCTCTGCGATGTGCCGGCTAAACAGAAGTCGCGGGTCTGGTCAGAAATTATATCATAGCCGAATCCACTTTTAAAAATAGCGCGCAATGATTTTTTCTTATTTTTCGTATAATTCAAGAAAAAATATGTGTCATGCCTGGTAAAAAAAAACATACAAACATATGCACTATATACATACATATATATGTATATTCAAACGCAAATCGGGGTTACATGTGTGTATGGCCGCAGATAGAGATAATCCCGAGCCGAAAAGATCTGTAAGGGAAGGCATATCATGCACCGACTTTTGCTTTCCAGATAGATTTCCTTTAATCAAAAATAAATTACATAAATAAATTGTGTAAAACATTGGTCAATATGGATATTATGGTTCCGAAATGCCACACTACCAGCGACCAGCCACCAGCCACCTGCCACCTGCCACCACCTCGCTGCGGTAGAAAAGCGAAAAAAAAAACAGAGGCCGGAATCAAACGGAATAACTTTTTCGTTATTGTTCCATCCAAAAACGCCATCCCTGGAGGCCTGTCTGCCTTCCTGCTGTTCCTCCCTTCTTTCGGCCAGGAAAGACAACGAAAAAACAATTTGAGGGACGGGAACAGGTTGTGCACATTTTAATTCACGGTTCGATGACCACAACGGAAATTTCTTTAATGACCACATGCGACGACGCGGACAATGACGGTCTCGAATGCTCCCAGTGCTCCCAATGGAGGCCGGAGACAACTGCACGTGGGTGCAGATTTTGGTGGCAGGGGGGGGGTAACCCGATGCGTTGCACCACCACCGGCCTAAATGAATTGAACCGGAGGTCCGTGCGGACTGTCTGCATCTTCCTCTCACCACCACAGTGTTGCAGGTGTTCCATGGAGAGCATTCTGCGTTTGGAGCTTATTCCAATTACACGCAATGTTATACAGAAAGTAAACACTTTTCATGGCATATTATGCGAGAATTGTTGTATCTAATTATATCGAAATTCAATTCACATCATGATTAGGAATATCGCAATATTTAACAAAGAACAACAGGCTCCTCGTGTATGGAAACCCAATTTGCCAATTACCATTCGAAAACATTAACACAAATAATCGCTGGCCGATCGACGTAGATTCAATTAACGGCGAGGTCCGTTAAAAATGAATTGTTGAATCTGTATTTTTGTATTTTTGTATTTTTGTAGTTTTGTGACATTTTAAGCCTTTGGCAGTCAAACAGAAAGAGCAAAAACAAAAACGGGGAAAAAAAGAACCCAATAAATAGAAAATGGAATAATAAATAATGTAATTTATGCAGCATAAAATATTATAAATCCCAAATTATAAATCATACGCAATATATGCAATTGGAACTGCAATCAGAATCAGCGATTCCAGTTTTATTTATTTATGCAAATGAGAATTGTTCCATGTCTCATTGTGTAAGTAAATTAAATTGGAATTGGAAGCCCCAAGCCCCCATATAGTGCTAGTATTCACCGAATAACGCCTAGGAATACTTAAAAGCACGAACCTCTGTATTATCAACAGACTAGAGAAAGTATCATGGGAAAGACGCTTCATTTGTTACAATTACAGGGGGGTGGGATACGGGGGATACGGGGGATTCGGGGGATTCCGAGCTACTCGAAAACTCAACTCGACTCCCGCTTCCTGCTGCCTGGAGTTTACTTTCGATCGAAGGTGGAGATGGAGAAGGAATTTCTGCCAGTCAGAGACTCTGAGTAAATTGTAGCATACTTTCAGGTGTGCCAGCCACGTCGTTTAGTTTATTTCATTTGTGCAATCAATCAAGCGGATGAGAAGGCCAAAGAGCAAGTCCTGCTCCCTCCCCACCTACGGCCGTGATGTTTAAAGTGAAAGGATGACTGGATGGCTCCATCGCCCATCGCCCATGTCCATCCCCCCCCCCCCCGGCGTCAAAATGAAAATGTCTGCAAAGAGAATATCTGTATGTTTTCCCATTTGATCTCTCTCTTTCTCGTTTTGGGCGGGGGCTCAGGCTCCCACGCGTTCAGCATAGTTTCGTTCTAATTTTCTACGCAACCCAAAGTTGTTTTTTCTTCTCCTCTGCTGGAATCACAAATCAACAGCAAAGAACAACAAAAGCTCAAAGGTTTTTTGCCTCGAACCCATACCACCTCCATACCACCTCCTCCGCCTCGCCACCTGTCGTGACCAAGCCAAAACAGAATACAATTGCCACAACGAAAACGAAAGAGTCGCAAGTGCTACGCTACGCCTTTCGGCGCAAATTTCCCAAGGTCTGGCCGAGAGACAGCGAGAGAGAGAGGGAGAGGGAGAGTTACCATTAAAAGCGCGCAACTCAATTTTTCGGATCTTCCGCCCAGATCTTCCCCCCACACTCGATTTTGACCTCTGTTTCCCCTTTGATTCTTGGGAATCTTCTTCTGGTTCCCAAAGTTGTAATTGAGTTTCTCGTTTCTCCCCCTTTGATTTCTTTTCGAGCTGTGTAAATGGAAAATGAAATATTTTCACTACCGAATTGCATCGTTTCAGTCGTTTCAATCGTTTCAATCGTTTCAATCGTTTCAATCGTTTCAATTCGCAGAGGATTCTGCTGTAACCTTTGGTAATTCCAATTGGAGTATTTATGTGCCCGCACCAGTAACGAGGACATAACATGTCCATATGTACATACACATGTCTGTAGGTACGTGAATGTGATGGCGATAAACAAGCAAATAAAAAAGCAATTAATGCGCTTGTCGCAATCAAAGTGTAGCCGTTTGTAGCCGGCCACAAGTGTATATCTGAATCCCATAGATGAATCCCATAGATGCGACCGGCAGTAGGCAGCGGACAGTCCGCAGTCGGCAGTCGGCAGTCGGCAGTGGGCTAAACAAAAACAAAATAATATATCAAGCGAACATCAAACATTTACCCAGCGGACAAAATCGTAATAACATTGGAGTAAACCGAATAAAAATATTAATGGGATCTCCATCCGTATCCGCATTCCCATTCGCGACCCCCAATGGGTGACACAACCACACACCCACACACCCGCACACCCGCACACCCGCACACCCGTGGATACATTCGTAGGCCTTCCGACCACATAAATATTTGCGGGACGCATTACGGTTAAAGCCATGGACATGTTTACCCGCTGTCCGGTGTCGTCTGTCCCCTGTCCCCTGTCCGTTGTCCGTTGTCCGTTGACCGTCGTCCCCACGGTCCTTTCGATATGTTTGTTTCGGTTTCTATTTTGCATGTCATAAATTGCTGCACAAACAAAGGCAACGGAGAAGGCCACCGAAAGGCCACCACCAAGCACCACCGCAACAGCAACAGAAACAGCAACAGCAACAAAGAAAACCGCATTAAACGATATTTTTCATTTGGGGTTTTCCCCAAGATAAGGGGGCGCTGTCTCCGTGCCCGATTCCATCCATCTCCGGGACCCATATGAGCCATGTGTCATAGACTTCATAATGATGATGTTGACGGAGGGGGAAATAGTTTTTCCTTTAGCTGCTTTTCTTTTCCTTTCCCGCTGCACATCCCACATGGCCACATCCCCACTTCCCCGCCTCTCCACTTCCCCGCTTCTCCACTTCCCACATACATTCTACATCCTACTCTCTGGCTATTTATTATTTGCCCAATGTCTGGTCTGGAAATTTGTAGTCTGCATCTAGGCGTTGTGCAGCTTGTTTGCCAACTAAACAGTCAGTAGCGGGAGATCGAGGACTGCGAACGGGGGGGTGGGGCGGTGGGGAGGGTACAAGGAGGACGGACTGTGACTGGGACTGGGACTGGGTCTCGCTAACCGCCTAGCCATGCATCATATTTTCGTTTTGGCATTGTCTGCAGTCTCTTTTCTGGTTGCATATCATTTTGCAAGTGCATTGTTTTCCGAGGGTTTTTTTCCGAGGACAATGAGTGGCGTTGCCCTTGTTTTCGAAACATGGTTTATTATGGCCACATGGCAGATGGTAAATCAAGTTAGACCCGGAAATTGCAATGAGCAGGCGAACCTATACACTTAATCATCATCATCATCGTCAGACGATATGCCACTATCAGTGTCTTTTCCAATGGCATCAAATACTATATATTCTCAGAGATTCTATTTGCAACAGTCGTGCTGTGAGGAAAGGATAAGTCTTGACTCCGAAAACCCTTTGCTGAACGAAACTCGATCGAAATCTGAGTTCTATATATCATATGGGAGGGTCCTTTGGCCGTCTCTCTCGGTGTGTGTGTTGCCGCTCAAAAGTTGTGATGAATTAGCCAAAAACATGCATTCCGCTGGGGTACCGTTTCGCGTCAGACGACGGGTACACGTTTAATTTATTATTCTACTTTCTAATCAACCTTTATGTGTGTGTGTGTGAGCCCAGAGAAGGTCGAGCACACACACACA